GATCTTTTCGCCTACTTACAGCCCATGGATTAACGGATTAGTGGAACGAGTGAACAGAGATATTCTTCAATTTTTACGAGTTCTTATCCATAACTACAAGTTCAACCATAGAGACTAGCCAAGGTTAATACCTATCGTGCAAGCTAGCCCCAACCATACTGTCGTGCCGTCACTGGGAGGCAAGACGTCTGGTGAGTTATTTACCGGCTTGGAGCCCCCCATAACCACTGCAGGCGGTATACCTGGGACAAGAGGTGGATCCTAGTGTACAGCCAACTCGAACCTCGGCGGAGATCGAGTCGAGCCTGAATGAACTAAGGGCTAGTACTCGGGGAGATGTACAGGGCAGTTGCTGACGCCCGTCTCAAACAGACTCTATTGAACAAGAAAAAGGAACGAGGTGATAACTTCGTCAACTTCGGCGACTATGTACCGCAATCTCGTGTGGACGAGAAAGACCAGAACAAACTGCTCGTTACTTGGATCGGCCTCTACACAGTTACTGCAGCTCTACCCTACAATGTGTTCAAGGTGAAGCACCTTATATCCGCCGCGGAAATCGATATGTATGCCTCATGGCTCAAGTTTTTTTGTAGGCAAGGACTTGGAGGTGGCCGAGGTTCTCTTGGAGCCCGTGGCCGCTCAGGGCATCATCCTCTGTGTTCGTGAACTACGTCGGCATCGGTGGAACGACCAAAACAGGTCCTACGAAATCCTAGTTGGGTGACATGGGCTAGAGACAATAGAGGACTCGTGGGAGCCCCTAGCAGCACTGCACTACGACGTGAGTACGTTAGTACAAGGATATATTGCTACAGCTAAAGACCCAAAGCTTGAGTGCCACCTCAAAACACTAGGTGCGACAAAAAAGCGGCGCTGAAGCTTTACGTGTATACATGTATACCCCTCAGTATAACGACTATACTTCCACTGAATCGAGGTTCATCCTTGGTTCTGTGTTTGTTTTGGTTAATTTCTGATGGATTTGCATGGTAAGGTATACTTCAACTGCAACGCATTGAAGTTGGTAGTTGCTGGAGGCGTAAGCGTCCGTGATGACTCCGAGAAACGGCTGTTTCGGACGGTCGTGATTATTGCAGTAAAAAAAAAAACCAATTTCCAGGTCGGTCGGTACCTGCATTTAATCCCCAGGTAGATTCGATATTACATGGTTAGGCGCAAATAGAACCGCACAATATGTGCTTTGTTTAGTACTAATATAAAACCGTTGGAATGGATGCCGTCATCTATGTGCAGATAGTAATGTGGCATTGGCAATGCCACCTCCTTTGTTGTATCGCCAAGAGAGTAGAATGCAATATACTAAACGTATTTACTACGGCTTAAAACTGAACAGGATGACATTGATGATAAAAGCAGAATCCGTGTTAAAGAGGGAAGGAGAATATCGAATGAATCGAAGACCATTGTTTCTTTGGCTATGTTCGTCGCTCGTCGCGGTGGCGAACTCACTTGTCCTTGGAGGTTTCTGGAGCTGACTGGTCTTTCTTCCACGAGCCACTGGTGACAAAGCGTATCAAGGTCAGTCAGTACCAACAGCATCACGGATGTATAAATGCTAGTCACGGACCTCACGAGTTCCGACATCTTCACCAGTTT